GATGAGAGACAACCAGAAAACATAGAACTATACAACAGTAGAGAAACGGGGCCCAGTATAACAAAAGAAGAAGTCATGCATGCAGTAAAATTGGCAAAAGATAATAAAGCTACAGGTCCTGATGAGATACCAGCGGAAATTATAAAATTAATCGCAGAAGATCAAATAGATATACTAAAAGACTTGTACAACACCATATATGATACAGGCGTCATTCCAAAAGAATGGCTTAAGTCGACGTTCGTGACTCTACCGAAAAAAGCTAACGCTAGAGAATGCTGTGACCATCGAACCATCAGCTTAATGAGCCACACTCTAAAGATATTCTTGAAAATTATACATCAAAGAATTTTCAGAAAACTGGAGCAAGATATTAGTAACACGCAGTTTGGCTTCAGAAACGCAATGGGTACAAGAGAGGCCTTGTTTGCCCTGAATGTATTGGCCCAAAGATGTATGGATGTTAACCAACCTCTTTATGTCTGTTTCCTTGATTACAATAAGGCATTTGACAAAGTCAGACATAATCGCCTCCTACAGCTACTTCAAGATAAAAATCTGGATATGAAAGATATTAGAATAATATCAAACCTTTACTTTAATCAAGTTGCATCTGTAAAGGTTGGCAACGAACTATCAGAAGAAATAGAAATACAACGAGGGGTAAGGCAGGGATGCATATTGTCTCCGCTGCTTTTTAACCTCTATTCAGAAGAGGTAGTTCAGAAGGCACTAAAGGAAACATCAAGTGGAATTAAAGTCAACGGAGAACTTATAAATAACATCAGATACGCCGATGATACTTTAGTAATCGCAGAGTCAGTTGAAGAATTGCAGGTTCTGATAAATAAGATTGTAGACAGTAGCGAAGAGGCTGGACTTACTTTAAATATCAAAAAGACGAAATTCATGACCATCGCAAAGACACAACAACAGGACACGTTATGGATTAGGGACGAACTCGTTCAAAAGGTGAACAGATATACATACTTGGGAACAATCATAACCGAAAACAACGATTACACACAGGAAATCAAATCACGTATAGGAAAAGCCCGATCAACATTCAATACTATGAGAAAAGTACTTTGCAGCAATGATCTGAGTCTGCAACTTAAAGTACGAATGCTTAGATGTTATGTATTTTCTGTGTTATTATATGGAATGGAGGCTTGGACGCTTAAAAAAGATATAAGTAACAGAATAGAAGCGTTTGAGATGTGGGCTTATAGAAGAATTTTAAAAATAAGTTGGATCGATAAGGTTACGAACAAAGACGTTTTAAAAAGAATGAACAAGGAAAAGGAGATATTAAATACAATTAAAATAAGAAAATTGCAGTATCTGGGTCATGTCATGAGAGGTGAGAGATATGAGTTGCTGCAGATCATTATACAGGGAAAGATACTGGGCAGAAGAAGCATAGGCCGACGACGTGTATCCTGGCTAAACAATTTGAGGCAGTGGTACAATTGTAACTCCGTTGAGCTGTTTAGAGCAGCAGTGTCAAAGGTGAAGATAGCCGTGATGATAGCCAACCTTCTTAAAGGAGACGGCACTTAAAGAAGAAGAAGAATAAAATGTAACGATGACCATTGCTGGGAACTAGAATTAGTGAATATAAATGAATTATAATGTGATATGAATTTGTTAGACTAACCATGTGGTTCCTTTTGGAAAGGATTTTACATCGAAGTGTGATGTATGAAGATTGCTAAAGTTCTCGTTGAAATGAATATAGGGATATAATTTTGAAGTATCAAGGTAGAACTGATGTAGCTGTTTTTTCCAACTGTTCAGTGTACAAAAACTGAAAAAATTAGGCCATGTCCTGATCGGATTTAGGTGTACCTAAGTTAAATTGTGAAATGTAACATTAAACTAGAAAGATTTTAAGGATTATTCAACAGTAAGGAGTGGTAAATGATGCTGAGATCATCAATGTCAGTACGTACTGACATTGATGTCTCATGTTGCCAAAATAGCTGAAGAAATATGTTCAACTAAAGCAATGGAGGATAATAGAACAACCACCCTTAAGTCTCAATTTATCGCCTTCCAATTCTCACATCTTTGGGCAATTGAAAAGGCGTTAAAAGGTACCTTATCGTTTTCATTCGAATGAAGAATAACAAAATTCTGTAAAATATTTCAATGAACTGTAACAAGACACCTTTATTCAGGGTATACATAGGTTGGGTTGGTGAAACAATTGTATTGATAATTATTTGTAGATATATTTGCCAATAATTTTTTTCCGGAACAAAGATGGGTTTCAATTGAACACGCTTGCTGATTATTTATATCTACTAACTGATAATTAAACAAATAACATCAATGCTAAACTTTATTTTTGTGTGTACTACAGAAGCCTTTCTAAAATTGTGTATTTAAAAATTATTACTTATAATAAATAGTGTAACAAAAAAGTTAAATAATAAATAATAGCGAGTTAAACGGTGAAGTTTCTTATTTCGTTTATGTTTTGTTATACCATGTTCTAAGAAAATGTATCTTTATTTTTTTGCCTTTTATAATGAGCTTCTCCTATTTCAAATATAAACACTAGGAACCCTATTAATTGTCCAAATATCAAGACGCCAAATGCTCCTTCAACATGAGTCCACTTAAGTTTACCTACTGTAGCGGTTTTGGCATTACTTAATATTGCTCTTGACATATGTGGATTTCCAAATAAAAGTACTGCCTAAAACGAAGAATAATATAAAAACTTAAAAATAAATATAGAGCTGATGCTCTCTAATATTATCTATTGTACTTTTTATAAGCCTGCACCGTTAGATACTTATATTTGTTCATATATAATACTGACCTCATTTTGCCAATGGTCAATAAGCCCCAATTCACAAAATCTTAAGAGATACTTATTAAGAACAGGCAGTATCACAGAACTTTTTCTTGCAATAACAACCAACTGTTCGAAATATAAATCTTCCTTTAATACTCTGAAATTTTCAATTACTTCATCGTGAATGTCGATTGGAAAAGCAAAAGTACCTTATAAACAGGGTTTTTACAGTAAAACATGAAACTTTAAAATAGATAAAGTCACAATTGTCTATTAAAAGAAAGAGTTTACTATTTCAGTAAATAATTATTAACCAATATTTTTACGTTAACAAAATATACGATCTGTGCAGATCTGTTCGTAAAAGTGTGCATAAAATTTCGAGGACGTCAAATTCACGTCTTCATCACTCATACGAACTCGGCCTTTCAGAGACCACAACTTTTTGTTTTGTGAATTTTGCCTTGTGACTTAACTGCATCTGTAAAAAATTCAATCGACCTAGGAGCTGAAGGTATATGACGTAAAAAATCCACAAGTAGAAAAATCTCTTCCTCGTCATTGTTGCACGAAATATATCACGTCTTGTATCATCTACATTGAAAAGTGATTTGATGTCTTCGATACTTGACTTGAAGATGGCAGCTAGATAGAGAAGCCCTAAAAATGCTTTTGTTTCTATTTTATCAATGTTATTAGCGAACTGACAATTCAAAGCTTGATCTATAATTTACTTGTAATTACTAATTTTCTCATTTGTTTTTTATAATCAATTTTCAATTTTCTCATAATAATTGCGTCATCACATAACAAATTTAACGTTTGAAAAAGTACAGTCGTCGGTGAAGTTATACGATCTGAACTTAATAGACCAGGAATATGTGGGACTAAATTGGCTGCATGAGTTCGGCTGTGTGCAGATGGTTGTTTTGTCCATTTTTTTTGTGGTAGTAGTTAGATTTGTCCAATTAATCAAAAACCTTATCGATACACTCGTCCTTCATCAAAACCAAAGTCACTTAATGCATCATTATCAAAATAATTGTTTCAGCACCAGAAAAATATTCTTTTGTATTCTAAAAGGTGTCAGCAAATTGTTTCAATTCCGGTTTGGGCAAGGGATTTCTTTGATCATCCATATTTGCCAAAATCTAAGAGCATTTTATAATTGCGACGCAAACACTAATGTTATGGCAGGATCAAATGTCAAATGGCATACTATTACTAAAATTCAAGAGGAACAAGTAAAAACACTAAGATGACGAATAAGTCTAATGAATATTGTTACTCTTACTAAAGCAAGCCTAATATAGTGGTGTGTCAAGATGGTGTCTGTATGCCACCACTATCCTAAATACTTTTGATACATTGCTATAAGATTTTTAAGCTAAATGTAGACTAAATGTAGGCAAATATGCAACTGAAAATTAGGGATGCGCATAAATATGCACTAATTTACCCAAAAATATGCCTTAATATGCCAGTGGATACGTATATTTAATGGTATATTAATAAATCGTCGCCTGAGAATTATACTGTTCCATCTCCTAAAACTCAATTTTACAGGAGAGCGTTTTTAAATTTAATGTAAAATATTTTTGATATTATTGAAAAATTGTTTTACAGATCATGATCACTGTTTGCATATTAAATTACTTTTTGTTATAGTGCTTTATTATTGCCAATTAAAACAACATTAACATGTAATACGGAAACATTTATTTGGATATAGAACAAAAGGAACATTTAACTGAAATATTTGGGATATAGAACATGTATAGTGGATATAGAACTAACTAATGCTTAAAATGTTTTATTGGTGGTAACGACAAATTATCAAATAAAAACCAAAATTTATTAAATATATGACCGTAACTTAAACAAAAATACAATTATTAGGTGTACTAAAAAAACAATAATCTTCTCGCTACTTTCCTTATTTGTCTATTTATTTTGTTTTTCTTTGTTGCACATGATACTTGAATTGTGCTTCAAAACAACATTGTAAAACTCTTTATCAACTTCCGGCATGAACGGTATCATCTCTTTGAGATGCTTTTTCTTTAATTCAGGTAATTTTGGTGTTAAATTAACGAGTTGCAGCACTTCTGGTAAATTATTATGTATTTGACATCGCGTTTTTTTAACGTTTTCCAGTTTAATTTTCTTAAGTAGCCCTTCATATAGTTCACCATATTTTATGATTAAGGCCGTTCCTTGCGTTTCTGGGCATACCTAAGTTCCAATGTAAAAGTTTATATCAAATAACGCAAAAACTATGGCAGATATTGAGATGATTCTTTTTTTATATGAAAGGTCTTAAAAAGTTCTAGTGCACTATTTAGTTGTAAATTAATAAATTGTTTAAACAATATTTTTTTTTCAAATATTTTTGGTTAAAATAAACGTAAAAATTTTTTTTTTGAAATAGGGCACTACAGAATTTGACCCACTTTCCGAATCTGTTTTTATTTTTAACATAAAGTGTAACACAAAGCAGCTATTTGGTATAAACTTTTTTTAAAATCTCAAATTTTGCTAAATGTAACTTTCTCTCTCGGCCAGTACAGGCTGTCCTTGTCGATAGTTTCTGGATTCTCGTCGACACGGTTAGGTTGGTTAGGTAAGAAGTATAATACCCTCTCGAAGGTGGGTCATAAATAATGTTGAATAACATTATTAGGGTTTATTTCGACTTTTGACAAACCAGTGTGTTAATTGTTTTTAAAATGGGTAGTTCACGAAGAAGTTTATGTTCCGATTGAGGAAATTTTATATAAATAAGCAGTACCTATAATAAGTACCTATAATTTGATTAAATTTTTATATGAATAGAAATATTTTCTGTTAATTTGTAACATTTTCCTTCTAAATGTTTATACTGTTTTTATAATAATACTATTGTTTCAGTATTTGCTTATATAATAATAATTTATTATGTAGAAACAGCGTAGAATTTTGGTCAATCAGCCAGTACATTTTTTTGTATTTCAATCAGAATTATTATTTTCTTTTCTTCTTTACATAAAAGCTTAGAGTAATACTCAAATATTTTGCAGTATTTGAATACGGAATTTGATTATTTATATTTATTGGACAATACCCAAATATTTTGCTGTATTTGAATATGGAATTTGATTATTTATATTTATAGGAATATTTATTTTCAACGTTTTTGTTAGTAAAGTTTACATAATATATGAAGTTTGTTTCTTCACTTGCTTGTCCAGCCATATTAGTCCAGGCTAATAAGGATTTTCTCGTGACACTCAATAATCCAGGTAGCTGACAACTTTTTTAGTTATTGTAGACCTATAAGAAGAAAACCTACCTGTTTCCTGCGTAAAGTTCGGAGCCGTTTTTTAATGATTAACAATTAATGCAAAAAACGCGATTCTTTCGATTTTTGCACTCTATTATTTATTTATTTATTTTTACGCACAACAGGCCGTTAAGGCCTAGAGCATTTTTTTTACAACATAATTCTAATATTAACTAATTACAATTATTTTAAACAAAACTTTAACGTAAATATGTATATATAACATTCTTAACTACTCTGAAGGACCTGGTGTACAATATTTTTCCATTCGCTTCTATTTTGTGCTTTTTTTTCCATTCCCTCACCTTCACGTGTTTAAGGTCTTCCTCCGCTTTACTAATCCACCTCGTTCTGGGTCTACCTCTTCTTTTGGGGTCGATTAATTTTCTGGTTATTACTAGTTTAGGAATTCTGTTTGCTGCCATTCTTTCCACATGTCCCAACCATCTGATTCTTTGTGCCTTGACGAACTTGGTAATAGTAGGTTCTTTGTATAAAGCCATTAATTCATTGTTGGTTCTTCTCTCCCAACCATCTTCTGCCTTTCGTCCTCTGAATATGCATCTCAATATTTTCCTTTCCCATCTTTCCAGAGTATCCTCTTCCTTCTTATTTAATGTCCAGGCTCACCGGCATATGTTACTGTGGGTCGAATTACTGTTTTATATATTCTGAGTTTACCTTGTCTAGAAACGTATTTTGAGTTCAGTAGGGCTCTTAAACCACCTAATTTTTTATTCCCTTTTGCTATTCTGGCTACGAGCTCCCATTTCTCTTTTCCATTTTCATCGAAAACTACACCTAGGTATTCAAATTTGTCCACCCTTTTAAAACTATAGCTTTTACCACTTACTGACCTCATACTAAAGTCTTCTTTTTTCCCTTCTGTTCCTTCTATGATCATATATTTAGTTTTGTCTTCATTTAGTTCCAATCCAAATTTCTGTGCTTCTTCGATGATTTTCTTCACAACTCTTCTTAATTCTTACTCGGTTTTTGCTAGGATCGTTAGATCATCAGCAAATGCCAAGCACTGGTGCTCATTTTTCATGATCGTTTCTTCCATCTTCATGCTGCATTTTCTGATTACAGTTTCTAATACTAATTTGAATAATGTAGTGGATAAAGGATCTCCCAGTCTCAAGCCTTTTGCAACCGTAAATTGATCTGATATGTGACCCTGCCAAGCAGGGTGCTAACAGGTGAAGATGCTAACAGAGTAATGCCTCTATAGTTCTTACAATCCAGTTAATCGTCCTTTTTATGCAACGTATATTATTTCATTTAGCCACTCTTCTGGAACAAATTCATTTTGCCATATAAGTACTATTAGTTTATGGGTTACTGCAAAAAGTTGATCATCACCTTTTTTTATATATTTTCCAACAGATTTAATCGATTTCTGTGGCTTTATTGTCTTTGAGTTTTAGGACGGCATTTGACACTTCTATTATTGTTGGGTGTTCACTGTGTAGTTGTCGATGTAGATTTTGTTGATTGTCTATATTGTAACCTCTTTCAATATCGTTTATATCATATATTATATAAATATATATATATATATATATATATATATATATATATATATATATATAATATGATATAATAATAATGTACTTATTCTTCTTCTTCAAGTTCCACTCCTATCGGAGATTGGAAATCATTCTGGCAATTATCATTTTGTTGGATATGCGGCTGAATAGTTCTGTTGAATTGCATCCAAACCGTTCACGGAGATTGCGTAACCACTAGATTTTACGTCTTGATGTGTGATGTATGATGTGCCCCAAGTATTCTAATTTCCTGATTTTTATGGAATTTAAAACTTCGCATTGTTTTCCTAGTTGTTCGAGAACTTGTTCGGTTGTTTTGCGATCCATCCATGAT